TTTGCAACTGAATGCAATTCTTTTCCAGGGTAAAACAAATGTAGTAGAAAGGTTGATGTAAATAAAAACCTATTCAATTTTGTTCTAACACAGACCATGTCTACATGGAAGTACTGGTTTGTGTCTAACTCATACATCCCACAAGCATCTACTGTGTGCAGAATGTCTTGTACACAAAAGACGCTGTGAGCGTATAATTGTGGCTTAGATGGGCTTGTAACCCCTGAGAAGCTAATATCAGCAGAAAAGAAGGAACATGTATATGAACTGCCGTCACACAACCTGTCCAGAATTCCACGAGAAAACCATGCCCAAAGAGCTAGAAGCAAAGGTTACCTGCAGGAGAGGCAATGCGAGACGCTGGAAGATTCTGAGCTGTAGAGCGAGGCAGACCCAGGTGGGAATTTCAGGTTTTCTCAGGATGTGGGACCGTAACCAAGCTTCTTATACTTTCCAAGCATCCATTTTCTCATTTTAAAAAAGAGATAACTACTTTGTAAGATTGTCTTCAGAATTAAGTGAGAGTAGTTCCCAGTAGGAATCCAGTGATGGTTCTCAGCGCCGGCAGCACGTTCAAGCCGCCGGTATGACTTTGGAACACACCCACGCCCAGGTGCATGCAGGGATTCTGATATAACCGGTGTGGGGTGTGGCTCTAGAAACGTCTTTGGCAGCCAGGTGCTGCAGGGCTGTGGATGCCAAGGAGGCACGCGGAGTCTGTTTGCTAGGGAAGGAGAAGGAACAATAGGGCTTCTCATGATTTCAATCGGTGCCTGCTGTGCAGTGCTTCAGTGTGTGCTCGTCTCGTTCCATAACTATTTCAATCATTTTTATCAACAGAAACATCATCTCGGGACTCTATCTCGGACTTGCCTTACGTCTCCACATAAATAGGATGTTATAGATGCTTTATCTGTGTTTTCAGTTAGCTTTTTTCCCCAACAGATCCAAGTAATATAAGTTGATGTGAATAACAGAAATCATCTGAGGCTCTTGTTAAAAACATAGATTCCCTGGCTCCTCTCCTAGAGATTCTGTTCCTGATTCTGAGCATCTGGAGTAGGGCTGGAGTCTTTAATGTTAGCACGGACCACAGGTGATTCTTATAAACACACAAGTTTGAAAACATGCTGCTAAGTGATTCACTGCAGTACCGCGTTCAATGATCTCTCCAGTACTTTTGATGTTTGAGACCCTAATGAGCCTAAATAATAAATAATCCACTGAAAAGCTCTATGCCTCATTTCAGCTCTCTCTTCTCCTAATTTGGGAAAACAGTAATAAACTGTGCATGCTAATACAAAGTAATGATATAAGGAAAGAATATAATAATGCAATAAAGTAATAAAGTAATGCAGGGAAATAATAGATTTTCATGATTAAACAGATCTTTTAACTTACTAAAATCAGGCCAATTTCACAGACATTGTCTTTTTTTTTCAAGCTCCAAATAACTTAAATCAGTTATTCAACTATACACATCCATAGCTTTCTTTTAATAAGCCTACACTAACCCTTTAGTTTCAGTGAAAAATCTTTTTTTATTATTATTGTACTTTAAGTTCTAGGGTACATGTGCACAACATGCAGGTTTGTTACATATGTACACATGTGCCATATTGGTGTGCTGCACCCGTTAACTCGTCATTTACACTCGGTGTATCTCCTAATGCTATCCCTCCCCGCTCCCCATAACAGGCCCTGGTGTGTGACGTTCCCCACCCTGTGTCCAAGTGTTCTCATTGTTCAGTTCCCACCTATGAGTGAGAACATGCGGTGTTTGTTTTCTGTCCTTGCGATAGTTTGCTCAGAATGATGGTTTCTAGCTTCATCCTATTTGCAGATGACATGATTGTATATTTAGAAAACCCCATCATCTCAGCCCAAAATCTCCTTAAGCTGATAAGCAACTTCAGTAAAGTCTCAGGATACAAAATCAATGTGCAAAAATCACAAGCATTCCTCTACACCAATAACAGACAAACAGAATCAAATCATGAGTGAACTCCCATTCACAATTGCTTCAAAGAGAATAAAATACGTAGGAATCCAGCTTACAAGGGATGTGAAGGACCTCTTCAAGGAGAACTACAAACCACTGCTCAACGAAATAAAAGAGAGCACAAACAAATGGAAGAATATTCCATGTTCGTGGATAGGAAGAATCAGTATTGTGAAAATGGCCATACTGCCCAAGGTAATTTATAGATTCAATGCCATCCCCATCAAGCTACCAGTGACTTTCTTCACAGAATTGGGAAAAACTACTTCACAGTCATTTTCTGATCACTGGCCTCGCTGCACTTGAAAACGAGGAAGAAATAAAGGCATCATATTTTCTCCTCTCTCATTCCTCTCTCTATTTCCTTTTTCTTATCAACTCTCTCCTTAGAGGTCTCAGGACAACAATAACCAGGTTGAATACAAAATGACAAGTGGGATCTGGCCATCACTATAAACCACCTGTCCTAGCTGACTTCTGAAAGAGCCAGTGACGTAGCGATACAGCTGCTCCCAGCTCCGCAGCAAGCCGCAGGTTACTTACACACCTCTTCTCCTCTGAAAACCAGAACCAGTTTTCCTTCTCCAGCCTGTCTTAGAGAGCTGTAATGGGCAAAGGTGTGAGAAGGGGCTTTGCAAATGTAACATTTTGCATAAGTATAAGATGTTATTTAGTATTAATATTGTTAGCAAATTTTAGTAATATTCAGTATCTAAGATATTCAACTTAGATATCCAATAAGCTATTCATTATCTAAGTTGAATACTGGGGGTATGACTCTAGATATCAATAAATATTGGACTTAGATAATGAAAGGCTGTTGTTCAGATGTCTGTTTAAAATTAGTGTGGACACATGCAGAAACAAACCTCCACTTATCCCACCTTACACTCATCCTAACCAGAGCTAAAAGAAAAGTTAGACTTTTCCAAATCAGAATTGAGTAGTACATAACTTAAATCTATTTAGGTATATTAGAAAAGCTAAGTTAGGCTCTGAAAGCAAATATATTGAAATATATCCTCTGTGTGTTTTTGTTTGTATGTTTTGTTTTTGGTGAGGGGAGGAGGTCTACCTCTGTTGCCCAGGCTGGAGTGCAGTGGTGCAATCATAGCTCTCTGAAGTCTCAAACTCCTGGGCTCAAGCAGTCCTCCCACCTCAGCCTCCTGAGCAGCTGGGACTACAGGTGTGAGCCACTATGCCTAGTTTTTCTAAGAAATATTTTTTTTGTAGAGACAGGGTCTCGCTATTTTGCCCAGGCTGGTCTCAAACTCCTGGCCTCAAGCAATCCTTACATCTCAGCCTCCCAAAGCACTGGGATTACAGACATGAGCCATCATGCCTGGCCTGTGTTTTAACTCAAAGAAAATTATTCTAGTCTTAGACATTTAAAAATAGAAAATACTGATTTTGACAAATTAGAGAAAATTGAAAGTTTAAGATTATTTTTATCCCTACAAGTCACTTTGGGAATGGTAACTTTTGTTCTAACAGTTCTGAGTCTGAGAATGTTTCTAAATGGAAAACGCTATGAAATGCCTCCCAAAGGCTAAGATATAGTTATCCCCAGTTGTCTTCACTCAGCTTCTATTAACTGTTCCTACTGGAAAAATCATTGTGATAGCTACAGTGAGATGATCACAGAAATAAAGTGAGTACAATAAACATTTTAGTGATGAGACAGAAGATCCAGGACACATGAGAACTTATTATTTTAGCAATTTTATTTATTTAGATGAACTTGTATCTTCCTTAGAACCACAATTAGATAGCTAGAATAAGCAAATAAAGAAAAAGCAAATGAATTAATTACTGATCCTCAAAGCATTAGAAATAATCTAGTTTCCTCCTGGAGCAGTTTGAGATTTGACTTAGTATGTATTCTGCTCTGTTAGAAACTCGCAAACGTAGCAATGACAAGTTGACATTAAAAGCTATGATCTTTGGGTAGATAGGGACTAGTTCTTTTTTATGTAAGCTCTAATTTAAATGCTTTTTAATTGATTCTTCAATGATTCTAAGTACTGGGGTATACACTGTGAAGTATTAGAAATATACATCATATTGTACCTGTCCTCAAGAGCATCCAGTCTAGTTGGGAAGATAGACAATACACAAATAAACATAAAAGTACAAATAATTTTCATTAAGGAAATAGGGTATAACGGTGAAGAACGATGGGGGAAGGACTAGAGAAGCTACTTCAGATGTTTGGCAAAGTCTTTCTGAGAGTGCAGGATTTGAACCTAGACCTAAAGGGTGAGAAGGAGTGAAGAGTAAGGGAAGCATTTCAGGCAGAAATAAGAGTGCATAAAACCCCCAGAAGGGGCACAAGCTTGGCCTACATGAGGAACTAAAAGGAAATCAGAATGGCCACAGCACCATGGATGAGGGAAGAAACCATGAGTGAATACAAAGTTCCTTTGTGTCTGTGGTTTCCAGGAGTTCTATACACTCATGTTAACTCACACTGGATCTTTAGCAATTTGTTAATAATTTTAGCTGAATTCTTCATAACAGCTAGTATGGGAGCCACGTCTTCCTCCATGCCCTGCTCCATGCAGTTGAGCCTGTGCTCATGTCTTGCCTTTGCTTGAAGGCACCTATCTTTCCTTAGATTTTAAGTTTATTGCCCTGTGACTTCAGCTCTCTGAAGGGTTCAAGAGAAGCTATAATTTTGTGTATTATCTGGCCTCTTCTTGTTAGTCTCTACAGATTTCTAAACAAAGTGTAATAGACTGGAATTATGTAAGACGTTTTAAAAGAGAGTAACAGATACAACAATGTCAAATGTGGTTAGTAAGAAACAAAATTATTCAACATGATGAGAAAATAGACCTAACTCAATTGACCAACTAAGAGTTTCTTAAGTTAGATTTACAGTTTTTCCGCCCAGTGAAACATTTACCATGTTACCAAGCTGAAATACAAATGTCAGGCACAAAACTCAAGATATTGCGGGATGTTGGTTTTTAAATAGTGCCATGATTTCTTCCAGATTACACCAGGAAGCAAGGCGGCAGCTGCCAACCTGTGTCCTGGAGATGTCATCCTGGCTATTGACGGCTTTGGGACAGAGTCCATGACTCATGCTGATGCGCAGGACAGGATTAAAGCAGCAGCTCACCAGCTGTGTCTCAAAGTTGACAGGTGCTTCTTAACTAATGGTAGTTAAATCTGATCTGTTTTGCAGGAGAACCTGAACCAGAACTATAAATAACTTCATCCTCCTAGCAAGGAGTACCACAGACCTAGTATTTTGGCTGGCTTTTTTGTATATCAACTACTTAATTCTTTACTAAAGTCAGTCAATCTAGCAGTTGTTGACAAATCATTTCTAAAAACGATTCTCTGGAATGTTAGAATAATAAAAGAGGCTGAAAGAATTTGTTCCAGTAATAACCCAGTTAATTAACTATGAAAATAGAACAACTATTAGCCACATAAACACTGAACAGCACAACTAGTTATATCACTGTTCTCAGTGTGATAGAGAATGGAATGGAATGGAGAGATTCCCCTGAAAGAGTCTCTTGATTTGCCCAACTGTAATTGTACTAAAAACTGGCTGCTAATATCCTGTCTGCCATTGGCTGTTTTGTACAGAATTCAGCCCAGAAGAACGTTACAGGTGTGAGAGTGCGTATGTACGTGGGCATGTTAAATACTGAGACATTTCTGACCCCACCCCCCAAAAACACTAAGAAATTGAGCCTGACCTCCTGCCATCAGATCCCTGATCCAAAACTGAACCATGATAATAGTAATTTGTTATAGTGGTTGTTACTGTGTGTTCATCCTGTTATGATTGTACTTGCAGTTTTCCCTGCTGTGGTACAGAAGGATCAATCAATCCACCAATCTGCTGTTTCATGGGGTGAAGTAGATTCTTTCACTCTCGATGCGTAACCTGTGTTCATGCCAAGCTTACAGTCCCTTAGGAGCCATTAGGTCGCAGGCAGATGCATGGGAAGGGTTGGACAAAGCACATTTCCTTGATGCCAGTAACAAATCCACCTGACAGATCACTCACTGTCTTCTGCAGTGGCCTCAATAGGACTGGAGGGAAGTAGGGAGGTCTAGGGACCTTGCCTGGTGGTCATCTGCAGAGTGTGCCTGCAGAGTCTCCCTCTCCTGTTCCCCACGTGCATTGCAGGCCTCCTTCCTCCAGAAACTGCACAGTGTACTCCAGGCAATTTTTATCTAGTCTACAGTCCCCAAAAGGACATTAAAAATGTAAGACTTCAGCTGAGTGTGGTGGCTCACACCTGTAATCCTAGTGCTTTGGGAGGCCAAAGTGGGTGGATCGCTTGAAGTCTGGAGTTCAAGACCAGCCTGGCCAACTGGTGAAACCCTGTCTCAACTAGAAATACAAAAATTAGCCAGGCATGGTCATGGGCACCTGTAATCCCAGCTACTTGGGAAGCTGAGGGAGGAGAATCGCTTGGACCAAGGAGGAAGAAGTTGCAGTGAGTCAAGATTTTGCTACTGCACTCCAGCCTGGGTGACAGAGGGAGACAACATCTTAAAAAAAAAAAAAAAAAAAAGACTAATTATATGGGAAAATACAGAATAATCAGCAACAAAGAAATATTGCTTTTGCGTAAGTTAGTGAGGGTTGCTAGTATTTTCACAAACATAATGGGAAATTAAAGTATACTAAAACTGAAAGTACCATTAGAATTTGAAGTTTACAAATTTTATTTTGTTTCCAGGGCAGAAACTCGCCTATGGTCTCCACAGGTGTCTGAAGATGGGAAAGCCCATCCTTTCAAAATCAACTTAGAATCAGAACCACAGGTATGAATTTTAGAGCAAACGTTATACGTTGTATTTCCTTTTAAATCATTGGGATGCCTTCCAAGGGGAAGAAGAGACAAATAGAAAAATTGAAACAAGCCACCTGATGAAGCTGTTGTCTGTCATTCTTCTCTGAGATTAATTTATATTATCCGTGTTTTCTTACATCAAGAAAAAGTAGTGTTCCTATGTGAACATCTTGTTGAAAGACAAAATATGCTCCCATCAGAAAGAATTTGGCTAAATCTACAGAGTCCACTTATTATTTTTTCATTTCTTGTGATGGACTTCTGTGAAATGACCGTGAGGTAATCTAAGGAGTTGAAGTTGTTAAAACAAAGCAAGGCAAAAATAAGGTCTACCATTTGAAACAGGTGCCTCCAATCTACTAGTTATTGTGAATTTCAATCCTTCCAGGTCTTCACCCAGATCTTATTTTATATTCTTCTTTAATTCTCACTTCTGGGATTCTGTAATTAAATTTACTCTAAGAAAAGAGTGTTGCCTAGTGTGATCATGGTGATATTCTGCCATTACAGCTGAATTATAAAAGATAAAGGATTTTCTCTGGAGGCAACTGTAATAAACTAAATTAATCTAATCATCTGGTGCTGATCTATGTCTACTTTCAAAAGGTCCAAAAAACCTGAAATTAAATCAAATCTTGATTGTGATGTACTGAGAAATCTAATTAAGAAAAGCATTTTATGACCTCGACATAGAAGCTCTAAAGGTTTAGAGATACAGATGCGTACATTTACTACCCCTCTTGAAACACATGTTCCTGCTAAACTGATTAGATATTCCCAGCATGTAGTTTTTCTATACAACTGATGAAAGGGAACTGAAAACACAGTTGTAATTTATGTTTAGAAGTATTTCCCCTTTCAAGAAAATCAACCCCTGAGTTTGTCCTTCAAGTTTTCCACTTGTCTCCATAAGCCTCTGATTTCTTTTGCGAAAAGATGTTGAATAACATCAGTACATGTATCTCCTAGGGCTTCTCAAAGATTAGAATAAAATAATACAAGCGAAGAAGTTGTCACATTGAGTTGTTCATAGAAATACTCAAATAAGTGGTAGCTCTCCTTATTATCAGTACGTTACCCCCACCCCAGTCTGGAATCAGAAAATCTCCTGGCCTTTCTTGCTGGTGAGATAGTTAGCTGCCTACGTGATAGGACATCCTAGAGGCTAGAAATGCCTTCTTCGTTGCTATTACAAGGGTCATGACAAGTGGATCCAAGCTTTATTTTCAGTTAAAATAGAATCTCTCCGGGAGAAGAAGGACCCTGAGCAATATAATCTTTAGAGGAAATGAGTTTATTAGATTGTTGTCCTAGAGTTTTGACTAAAGGGAAGGTGGAGTCTGAATCTAAAATCTACTAAAAGCAAAAAGGAGGAAAAACTAAGCCCCAAAAGGAGTGATCAGGACAGAGAATATTCATGAAGGCAGGAAGCTTGAGGCTGCTGTCTTCCCTCTAAGCCCCCCTAGCTCAGTAAATAGCCCACAGCTCAATAAATAGCTGACAAATGGATGAAAGGAACTGAAGGGCCTAAAAATGAGCTGTGCATTTTCTAACATTGCCAGGACCTGTCCTGGGAGCCAGTTCTCAGAATGGTGTTCTGCCATCACTCCCAGCTGTTGCACGGAAACTAATCTTGCAAGTTGAGTGGGGCCAGGCGCGTTGGCTCATACCTATAATCCTTTGAGAGGGAGAGGTATGAAGATTGTTTGAGCCCCAGAGTTTGAGACCAGCCTGGGCAACATGGTGAGACCCCATTTCTATAAATTTTAAAAATTAACCAGGGCATGGTGGTACATACCTGTAAGTCCCAACTCCTCAGGAGGCTGAGGTGGGAGGATCGCTTGAGCCCAGGAAGTCGAGGCTGCAGTGAGCTGTGATTGCACCACTGCACTCCAGCTTGGGTGACAGAGCAAGACCCCGTCTCAAAAAAAAAAAAAAAAAGAAAAGAAAAAGAAAGTTGAGTGGGATACTTAGGTAGGGTAAGTGCTCTTTGGGGTAAGTGAGCAAAAGATAAAATGGGTGGCACAGATAATAAATACAATGAGAAGGGATCTGAATGCTGATGGTGACTCCCCGTGACATACTAGGTGGGCTGGTGAATAATGATGCCTCTAGTCAACTTTTGCTTTGCTAGAAGAAAAGATTGGAAGAAAAAAAGAAAGTTCTTGAGGTAGAGTTCTCACTTGTATCTAGCCCTTTGCAGAGATGCCCAAGCCAACCTGCTTCCTCCCACCCTCGTCAATTTATCACCTGGAGGTAACACATGAGAAAAAGAGACTATATGGTGCTTTTGAAAATTAAAGTCAATATACATGCATTTATTGACCACTCAGCCTCTTACTACCTGGACCAACCAGATGGGACTCTGCATTTCCTTTTCCCTACACAGCACACATCCAATATTGCACTGCACCCTTTGCAAATTATTTTTCCATGCAAGAACTTCTCCTAATTTTTAAACCCAGTTTCATTAATGTGAGATGCAAGAAATGAGGCCAACTAGACAGATCTGACCAAAGTGCCAAATCCCCAGTGATCCTTCCTCATGGTTGCATCCCTCACCCTGGCATGTAGGGTAATTCAGCAGGTATTTACTAAGCACAAAGTGAGTTTAGACCAGGATGAGAGCCCGCGTCTTGCTAACACCGCTCCAGAACTGGAGTTTAAGGGTGATTCTCCAAGTTGTAGCTCTAACAGAGGCTTCTTTTGCAAGTCTGTGAGTATTAATTTATGACTATGGTTATTCTAAAGATGGGATTTTAAGGCATAATCCTAATTTTAAATACTCTGACCTCTTGTCAATCATGTATTAGCCCTTGTGTCCCACATTTGGGGGTTAGAAAATATGAGTATTTATGATACTACAAATGAGAAAAATGAGATAAAATTGCTTTTTTTTTTAAAGGTTAAGATTAGGTTAAGGTCTATAGCAGCCAGTCAGATGGAGCCTTTAAACGTTCCATTGCTTGGCGTCATGATTAATTCTTACTGACATCCTCTCCAAGAGGCCAGTGTTTGAAATGCTCCAAGATAAGAACAAATTCAGTTCTACTAAAGAACCAAAGGATTTCTACTCCTTATGAGCCTCTCAGGCCAGATTTCTGCATGGCCAGTTTATGTGACTTGATCCTTCAGGACAGACATTCCCCACACGAAAATAACTAAATTGCAGTCTATCTCCTGCTGTCCAAAAATCCTGTAAACTAGAACAAAATGTGCCAATAAAAGTCGAACAGTGAGTTTCACTTGTGGACTGAGACTGGAGAAAAGCTGAGCTATGGTTATAGGGTTTTTTGTTTTTCTAAGTAATACAAAGCTGTACAAAAAAGATGTCTTTTTCTTTTTTATCAAAATGATAACTCTGCAAATAGAGCAATCTTCTGGACAGCAAATATGTGTCAGTTAAAGAAACAAATGCCATTAATGTATCATGCTTCAAGATGTCATTGCAGATGAATAGCAAAAGGACATTGAGCAATGTGAAATTTGAGTTTTTGTTTCTCAACCCAAGTCAAACTTTTACTGTAAGTTATGTGACCTTTGACATTGGAATAAAATACACTTTTTCACTTTAATATCTATTTGTTGGGGAAAAAACGATATTCTACCATCCAAGCCCAGTCACAGATAATAAAATGTTAGTATGTTTATTTCTGGGTTTTTTCCCCTGTGCATAGGTTTAAGCTAAGGAGACGTTTACTTATACGGTTATAGGAATAGTTGATATAAAATTTTAATATCTAGATTTTAAAAATTTGACCGAGCGCAGTGGCTCATTCCTATAATCCCAGCACTTTGGGAGGCCAAGGCAGGTGGATTATCTGAGGTCAGGAGTTTGAGACCAGACTGGCCAACATGGTGAAACCCCATCTCTACTAAAAATACAAAAAATTAGCTGGATGTGGTGGCAGGCACCTGTGGTCCCAGCTACTGGGGAGGCTGAGGCAGCAGAATCGCTTGAACCCAGGAGGTAGAGGTTGCAGTGAGCCAAGATTGCACCACTGCACTCCAGGCTGGGCAACAGAGTGAGACTCCATCTCAATAATAATAATAATAATAATAATAATAATTTTTCCATGCTATCATCAAATAGCTAGATTTTGTTTTTATGAGTTTAGACTTGAATTTTAGGCATAAAGAGCATGTTAGGTGTTGTTTAGATCAACTCCCAGCCCCTGAATAAATGCCTTCAATGCAATCCTGAACACAATCTATTTTTCTGTACAAAAATAGACAATATGGTCCATTTTTCAGTACAAAGTGTTGCTCTTGACTAAGAGTATGTTAATGAAGCTATTTGTCCTTTTTCAAAGCTTACAGTCTCAAACCATAGCCCTCATATTTGCTTAATGTTGGGTGAACAACTCAAAGGTATACTGTGCCTATCACAATACAAGAAAGATGCTTTTCAGAAACAAAGATGGTTCTTATCTAAATAAGAAGAAAGCTATCTCCATTTCCATAAAAAGGATTGCATCCTCGCCAAAGAAGATGGTAGAGTTTACATACACAGTCAAGAAGAGTGTGCGATAAAGTCATTTTTATTTTCATAAATAAAAAGTGTTTTGGTAACTGGAAGGCAGCCCATATAAAACAAGCTTTCATAATCACCGTTTCCTCAAACTCTTCCCAGTGAGAGATGGGTAACCCTTGAAACTGCTCACTGGAGGAAAAATGATGGTAAGGGTGTCTTTACTGTTCATTTGAGGGGTGAGTATGAGGAGGGAGTGATTATAAATTTCAAACATGATGAAATATAATTTCTTCATCATGGCTTGATTAAATATAAGATCACTTCATAGAGTTTGTTTCTCTTATATACCCACCATTTTTTCATATATATATGATTTGATTTGATATATACATATGTATACATATTGTATGTAGATATGTATGTGTGTATATGAATCAAACATACTGTTTCTGTTGGAGATGGTTCTGAATCGTAAAGATTATCTGAATCTTTACCTGTGAGCAGTCTCCAAGTAAGAAGCTGAAAGGTGAAGCCTTTGACTGCTGTCGTGTCTGAGGTCATTCCGAGGATGCGGGAGACCGCTGGCCATGGCTGCATCCTCTTCACGTCAGCAGAGTTCTGTCAGGTTACTTAGCTTTCACTGCGACAGCTCTAGCATTCTGTTAGTTCAAAATGTTGTTCCTTAATATAAGCCTCTAACATTTAAACTAAAAATGTTAAATGTATCAATTCATGGGAATCATTACATATTGAATTCCTAAGAAATAAGAATGATTTGGGTGGTTTTGTCTAGACAGAATAAACACAAGAGCTGGACTATATTAACTGTTGCATACACTTTTTTAACTGGTATTTTCAGTTACTTGTGATTTTTCCAGGAAAAATAAAAATGAATTAAAGTGGAACAGCAGACTTCTAATTGGTTTTGTCTTTTGATTACATTTGACCATCAACAATGATGTAAGCCTTGGATAGAATGTTACCTCTGAGTGCCCCACTTAAATTTCTTGTTAACCTTTGGTGTATACACCTCATTGTGCTTTTTGGAATGACTCTAAAAGCCCATAAACTAATGCTTTGCAAAGCCTAAATAAAAATGTTTGCAGCCTGTATTAGAAACACTTTCTTTTAAGATCTGAATGTAAAATAGAGGTTGTTGGTTTTTTGTTTTTTGGTTTTTTTTAAACAAATTATGCATTTGTGATCTTTGCAATATATGTATAACCAAAACCGAAAATTGCAAAGAAATTGCTTGGAGCTGATTAACTACATGCTGCTATTTAGAAATTCTACTAGAGATTATGAATGCACAAATATTTTCAGAGAAGTTGCCTCATTTACAGGACAACACTACCTGTATTTATTTATCATCTTAAGGCTAAGAAGAAATAAGGGCAGAGGTATTTTCCATAAGGCTATTATATTATGTTAGTTTTTATTAATTCAATTCTACTTACCAAGACTTTAAGGCAGGCCTTACTTTGTTTAAGGAAAAAAAAAAAAAAGCTAAGCTCCACAAAACAAGTGATTCAGTAATGCCTGATTCTTTAATTAGCCTGAGAGACTTATAATCCACCAGAACTAAACTAGGCAGTTAGGCAATTAGCGTGCTGTCTTCTCTCATATCAAAAAGGCTTGAATCATGGCCATTGTCATTACTTACAATTATTTCTAGTTTTTCATGCCATAATAATGGCTAATTATACTGGTTAATCACAAAACTCAGCCAATCCAAATTCACTAATAAATCAGCTAAAACATTTAGATTGCGCCATTTATAAATGTTTAGCTACACACATTTTCGCAGACTCTAGGATTAGGCATTTTTCTAAAGCTGCATTTGATGGTTTGGGTCATTCTGCTCCCTAAGAGCAGCTACAATAATGTTAATCAACTCCTTGGCCGTGAGCCTTTATTATGAAGGAAAAAAGTTAAGTGAACAAGATATCAGCCAACTCAATCACACTAGAAAATCACAGACTAAATTGAATTCAACTCAGACCTTCTTTCTGGGTTCAGGAGGCTGTTAAAATATGCTGTGCAAGGTTGGTGAGAGAAAAGCTGTTCTTCACCGCATCACGGATTCTCAGGTCCCCTGAGATTTGGGGCAGGTGGAGCCAAAATCTCCTAGGCTAGGATTCGAAGCTGCACCCCATTGCCCTGGCATAACTTTTGTTTTTTAAGTGAGCTTTGCCAGTAGGCCCGGATAGTAGAAGAAGGAGGACGCTCAGGAGAACTGAAAGAAGGTGTTTTATAGGAAGTTGTTCATATTCTCAGGCACAAGAATCTTCTATGAAAAACTCTGGTCTTACACCCGGGGAAGAAAGACTCTCTTTTCTTTCCTCCTCCTTCTTTTCTTCTTTTTGTTTTCGACAGTCTGTTTTCTAACAGAAAAGCATAACCCACAACTTACCTGAAATGAAGAGAGAAATAAATACTACAGGATCTTTTAATGCTTTAAAGACAATAATCTCTTTCCAGTATTATTTCAAATAATTATATATGTTTGTACGATTTCAAATCTGGAACACTGGTGCCACATTCACAAAAGTAAATGAAGTTGATGTGAATGTGTAAGGGAAAATAGTGTTAGAAAGATTTATCTTACTAATTCTGCCAAATAGAAAGATTTGGGGCCAGGTGCAGTGGCTCATGCCTATAATCCCAGCACTCTGGGAAGCCGAGGCAAGTGGATCACCTGAGTTCAGGAGTTCGAGACCAGCCTGGCCAACATGGTGAAACCCCATCTCTACGAAAAATACAAAAATTAGCTGGGCCTGGTGGCATGCACCTGTAATCCCAGCTACTCGGGAGGCTGAGGCAGGAGAATTGCTTGAACCAGGGAGAAGGAGGCTGCAGTGAGCCGAGATTACGCTATTGCACTCCAGCCTGGGCGACAAGAGTGAAACTCTGTCTCATAAATAAATAAATAAATAAATAAATAAATAAATAAAAGATTTGGAAAGAGAATCAGTGACCTGTGGTTGAGCATATTCCCTTTTGCTTTTCTTCTGTTGCTTAGAAGAAAAAAGTTGTAAAGGCTTTATGAAATTATAAATCTGTATAAAATCTGGAAAACATGATTCCCACATTAAAAAAAATAACATAGGATTTCAGATCATTCAGACATGTTTCCAACTCAGGGTTGAGGACTCTGCTGTTTGGTCCTTTTCCCAGGGAATAAAGTGAAAATCCTCCTGTGAATCACACACATTTTCTCTCTGAGTTACTGACTTTAGTCTTTTGGGGACTAGAGTAAACATGAAGAGGTCTTCAAACACACAGCATGAAATCATCACAATACAAAAGGAAGGGGTGGTTGTGTATGCTCTTCCTTCTTTCATAAAGAGTCTTTCAATTATTTTTTCTAAAATTAAGGTTACAGCTTAATCCAAGTTAAGAACTTTTTTTTAAAGACGTTTTTGAAAACGCGTCTTTACCTGGCTTAGTTTGAATGATTCAGGGTAGTTAGTTATTCATAAACGCTCATTCTCCTTGTTTTGTTCCCTCGTTTCTCAAAGTGGGGGAAAGTTTATCAATATATCAATATAAGAGAAACCATATGTAAATTCTACTTGAGAAAATGTTAAGTATAATTTTGGAGCCAAAAATCCCATTTCTGACACAAAATGTCTGCATTCAAACGACTCATTAGAATTTCTTAAAGCTATAGATAAAGAAGTCAGGGACAGATAAGAGATGCAATGTTTAAATTATTTTATAATATTTTAAATAAGGTCCGTTCCTTTTCACCTTAACATCTGATCAGTGAATATAGCACATGTAAAGTTCAGAGAAAACCATGGAAAATGTATGGCTAACTCCTCCTCTAATCTTTCCATCAATCTCGTCGTGGGTAAAGATGCCTTTATTAACAGTAGTGATGCTGTTGGTTTCGCTCACTAATGGCTTTCTTGTGCGCTGTGTGGCTCTGTGTATTTTGTCTGCCATTGTACAGGAATTCAAACCCATTGGTACCGCGCACAACAGAAGGGCCCAGCCTTTTGTTGCAGCTGCAAACATTGATGACAAAAGACAGGTAGTGAGCGCTTCCTATAACTCACCAATTGGGCTCTATTCAACTAGCAATATACAAGATGCGCTTCATGGACAGCTGCGGGGTCTCATTCCTAGCTCACCTCAAAAGTAAGTATCCGACTCTGCTCTGGCCACAGTCTACCTAACAGTGATAGTATGGTTTCTTTTCTTTTCAAAAGTCCAGCTCTTGCTGTTTTATTTTTACTTTCCTGAAGGCACTATCAGATTTCTCTTTTAAAGACAAGCATCTAAAACATGTTTCTAATTGCTGTGGGGCCCGGTCCGCCAGTGCCTGACCATTTAGTGGATAGATGGTTGAAAAGAAGAGATGGTCCTGGTTCCATCATTACCTTTGCTAGTTATGACGATAGTTGGTGGTAAATAATCCTCTCTGTACAATTATCATTCGTTTAATCTTATCTGAAAAAGAATTCGTCTTCCACTGAGGGGCCTTTTTAACGCTTTGTTTTTACAGGATGTGAACTACTTTGAACACAAGCACAATATTCGGCCCAAACCTTTCATAATCCCGGGCCGAAGCAGGTCATAAGCTGTGAGATTGTGAAGTTTGCAGTGCATGCTTCTTAAATCAGTTCTTACTAATCATCGAGAAAAGTAACTTGTAGATGTTTGGAGTGGCTTTTCTCATTGCGAAGCTTATTTCAAAAGCAAAAAGAAACAAACTCACTTAGCAGAGTACAGAAGCCAAATAACTTTCATTTCCAAGAGTAAATATTGACAGGATTACAGAGCTGTGAAATTTTATGCAATCACCACGTGTATTTATAGTGAACACCCCTGAGGCTCTGGGGATCCCATCCAGAACACCGTGACCTTTGAGTCGGGCAGTCGGTGTATCTATCCCAGGTCAGGAAAGCCCTGCCAGCGGGAGCAAGCATGGAAACCAGCCCCGGTTAGGAGCAAGGAATCAGGTGAACAAGACAGAATGAGAAGGAGCAAGCTCTTCCTTCTCGTCTCTCAGTAGAGAAACTGATCATCTTCAGATCATCCTTTTCAAATATCTTCTCTAGAAATTGAACTCCAACCTAAGGGGAAAGAAAATAATGCCCTGTATTGCCAAATCAGGAAACAGTGACTTCAGGAAACCTCAGTTCCATCCTTCTGACCTCAGCTAAGCCGGTCAGCCCACAGGAAGGAAGCTGGTGGTTAGACTGGATTGATTCTGACAGGAACATTGAATATGATTTACCGCAGCTGTTGCAAACTGGTGGCCCATAGGTGGATTTATTTCACAGGCATGTTTTATTTAACCTTTTTGTTTTAAAAAAATAATGTAAGTGCCTTTAGACAGAACATTTAAACTCACCATCTTGTCAAAATGCTCATCACTCTTCAGTGTGTGAGACGTGGCTCATTTTCATACATGTGTGACCTCCTGGCCCCTCTAGACACCCGAGCTTATGACTCCTGCCATAGGCTGTGGAGAGGGGGTCATCCCGTCTGTATGATTTCCATGTCCAGACCTTTCAGTAAGCTACAGGCAGAGTCGGGTGATTGTCTCAAAACATGCCGGACAATTCTTGTGATATCAGATCCAGGAAGGAGCCCTGGACTGGAGGAGCAGGAGAAAGGCGTTAAGAAGGCAACCATGAGTGAACATATCTTCCTCCACTAGAACGTGAGCTCAATGTCTGCAGGGGCCTGGTCTGACTGGCTCAACATTGTACACCCAGCACCTAGAAATGAGACAGAATAAATGCTCAATAAGCGACCATCTACGAACAGAAAAAATAAACGCCCAATAAATGCTTACTGCATAAAGGAATCGAATCCTGAGGGTGCACACCATTTCCCGAGCGAGTGGCAAGAGTCCAGAGCTGTCTCGCTCCCGATGCTGGCAGCTCTGTGTCCTCTCCTGCCTCTCTCTGTGTGTTCCCTCGTTCCCATTCTGTTCTCATCTGCATCTTTTCCGTTTCTCCACTTTCAGCAGCTTCCCCACCCCAGCCCAATCCCAATAACAAAACACTGGATTTAAAGTTAAAATGATACAATATTTTACTGTTGAATATATACAACTTCCCAAAAGAGCACAGTAAAATTAATAACTTGCATTCTTTTCAGGTTAGTGTGACTAAGTCCACCCACACCAGCTCTAGGGCTTCAGAAGGCTTGGATAAAGTGATATGTTAGAGTAACACTTATCCTGCCTTTACTAAAAACCTGTAACATTCAATTTTATAAAAAGTCAGGAAAGTCAGAGAATCCTAGGTATATAATCGCCTTTAAAAAATGTTTTTCATTTTAACTGAAACATGGGGATAATGACAAGCCGCTCATAACGTCATTTGAGGATAACACCTTTTAATATAGCTGAATTTGGAAGGGAGGAGGAGAGAAACAGAAATGAGGGGATTTGCTTAAAAAACAGATGCCAGTGCACAAATCTTAAAGAACTATAAGGCCTGGTGTGGTGGCTCACACCTGTAATCCCAGCACTTTGGGAGACAGAGGTGGGAGAATCACGAGGTCAGGAGTTTGAGACCATCCTGACCAACATGGTGAAACCCTATCTCTACTAAAAATACAAAAAATTAGCTGAGCGTGGTGGCAGGCGCCTGTAGTCCCAGCTACTTAGGAGGCCGAGGCAGGAGAATTGCTTGAACCCGGGAGGTGGAGATTGTAGTGAGGTGAGATCATGACACTGCACTCCAGCCCAGATGACGGTGTGAGTCTTCAAAAAAAAAAAAAAAGAAGAAGTAGAATTGTTAAAGAGTGCCCCAACATCCTTCTTCTCTTCCTGTGCCTCCTCACTATTTGCTGTAACTTCTGAATTTTTTGTTCCCACCAAACTATTCTTCATCAAGGTGGAATTGTAAGTGGCTGCATACCAACCTACAACTACATGTGTTTTTAACTTTTAAAACAACTGTAGTTTTTGTTCGGGTGCATACTACTTGTACATGTTTATGGGGTACATGTGCTGTTTTGATACATGCATACAATGTGTAATGATCAAATCAGGGTAATTGGGGTATCCATCACCTCGAGCAGTCACTTTCTTTGTGCTTTGAAACATTCCACATCCACTCCTCTAGTTATTTTGAAATATATAAATAATTGTTGTTAACCATAGTCACCCTATAACTACACTGTTATGAACTTCTTTAATCCAAAGTAAGTTGGACATGCTAGTGCTGGGCATGGTGGCTCACACTTGTAGTCCCAGAACTTTGGGAGACCAAGGTGAGCAGATCACCTGAGGTCAGGAGTTTGAGACCAGCCTGGCCAATGTGATAAAACCCCATCTCTACTAAAAATAAAAAAAGTAGCCAGGCATGGTGGTGCACGCCTGTAATTGCAGCTATTCAGGAGGCTGAGGCATGAGAATCACCTGAAGCCGGGAGGCAGAGGTTGCAGTGAGCCGAGATCATGTCACTGCACTCCAGCCTGGGTAACAGAGTGAGACTCTGTCTCAAAAAAAAAAAAAAAAAAGTAAGTTGCACATGCTAAATTGTTAACAGCTTAATTTCCCTGGGGTTTTACTATTAGCTATGGTTCTTTTGATTATTTCATCATGACTGAAGCCTTTTAAAAGACTGGTGTTTTCACATGCAAATATATAAAATTTTTAAGGCGAAAGCTACAGTTAAATACATATGTAAGGTATTTTAGATCCAAGTGATAAAATACAATCCTATGAGTGGTTTTTGGACAAGTTGCTTCCAGAAGTATGCCCCAAAATGTCTGTACACACCCCAGAGAAATTAGCAATCTGTCAAATGATGTATCTGGGCATGAAGTAATTGACTGCATTATCAACCTCACGAGTGGCCTTGCCAAGTCACTAAGTCAGTCTCAGAAAATCTCATTAGCATCTACCTTTCCAGGTCATCAGGAACAAGTCGTGGTGACCCATGATGATATATCCCCGGTGATAGCCACAGTGACTGGAATCCATGAAAACCCGTTTTACTTAAAGGATCAGTTTAAAAGATCTTTTTAAATTGGCCCAGAAATGTATAAAAGTTCATCCTTGTTTGCTTAGCGTTCATTTCTCATTTATTTGATAGACATGGGCCTGATTGATAAAGGAACTAGGAATGCATGCTCAACTAAAATTACATAGTGCACAAATATGCATTTACTATTGACCCTCAGAACATGGGTTTAAACTGTGCAAGTTCACTTATATGTGGATTTTTTTTCCAATAAATATGTTGGAAAAATTTTTGGAGATTTGCGACAATTTGAAAAAGGTCACTAACTGTAGCCTTGAAATATCAAAAAAATTAAGAAAAAGATTTGCCATGAATGTATAAAATATACATAGATAGTAGTCTATTTAAGTGTTAATAGACTGTTTATCTGTAAAACTTCCGTTCAACAGTAGGCTATTGGTAGTTAAGTTTTGGAGGAGTCAAGTTATACATGACTTTTATAGCAGAAAAATATTACTGATAACTACTATAAGACATGACATAACTGTAAGTTCTAAATTGATCATAGTTTATCTGCCCAGTACGGGCACTATGTCTGGCACATAGTAGGGTAAGAGTAGTTATAAATGCCAGTCGAGTAGGTTCATTATTGGGAGGCTGAAGTCTCCCAAGATTTAACTCTGTTTCAAATCCCTAAACTGATTTCATAAGCTTCATTACACTCAGGTTAAATCCACGTGATCCTGACTAAACTGCACTGCGACTGAAAATGTCCTCACATTCTTTTACCAGCTGCAGGCCATTTCAAGAGTCAGTATAGACCCTACAAAAACGGTGAATAGCCCACTTGACATTTTGGTATGTGATCTAAACATTGTACAGTCTGGGTTTTCAATAGGTTCTCAAAAGGCAGGAAGTGAAGGAGCAAGCTCGTATTCACCTGTCTGGTTTAGGTTATGTAGGTAGTTAAATTGGATAACACAAGACAAAAAAAAAAAAAAATTTAAACCCATTTAGTGACATGAGTTCTCCAGACTAATCAGGATGCAACATTGCTGGAGTGGAAAAAGTTCCTGCTCAATATCATTTTGGTTTCCTATCTTTATATGGGCTGAAGTTAGCATTAATACCTCTAGAGAGTAAATGCAGATATGGGGCCATACTTGAGACCAGAGACAATCTGGACTTAGAGGTAAACACACCATATACATCCATTCTCTGTCTTGAGCTTACGGCGACACTAACTGGAAAGTATGATAGATGTGTATATTAATACTAATATTTATTTTTGCTTTGTCTTAAATGACTATGCTTTTTTTACAAAAATCTCTTGGTATCTCTCATGCACGTGGGAAAATGGACTTTTTAGTCACTAGCATGTCAGTTGTTAACTGACCCCTATCCAGTTTCCAAATAGAATGTGAAATCTCCCTAGTTCTTCGATTTGCATGACTGGGCTTTGATGTTTTAATAAGTCTCTGAAATGCATCTTTAAAAGGAAAAGGGAAATATGCATGGGATAGATGTGTGCTTCTGAAATTGTGCATAAAATAGCTATGTAAGAAATATAAGCATCAAAAGAGTGAAACACCACTTTATTTCTCCTCTAATCATTAATATCAAGGTGACAAGCATTTATTGGTTTCTTTCTAGGGCTTGTATTAAACCACTGAACAGCTGTCTTAAAGGGTACTCCTCACAGAATTAAAGAGTAAAAATAGAAAATATTAAAATAGTAACAAAATATTTACAAGATAGCCTTAAAACATAATCTTTACCATAAAACCTGCAAGTTACCAATTACTATTTAATTAAAGCTCAACTGTGTTACTGAAATATACTTCTGATTTTGAAATGTTGAGCCCAAATATGTGATTTCATCTTCATGCTGCATGTTCGGTATTCACTAAAACTTGAATTTTAAATGTTGCACTTGAGAAATGTAAAAGGATGTCCAGCCAGTGTAATTTTCCTTCATCATTTGTCTGTGATATTGACCAGTTTTAAAGTCTTTGGCCTATTTTTAAAAAGTGAGGATAGCTGCAAATTTTCTACTTACTTCATATACAACTTTTCTACATGTAACCCTCAACTTACACATTGCCTCGTAGAACAGAGCCAAAAAATGCAGTATCACCTGTACCTTTTAATTTTATTAAACTTTTTTCAATCACGAATTTTTCAACATCTTCCCTTTTTAAACAAATTCTAGTGACAAATCAAGATTTGGTTTTATTTTGATGTAATTCACCTCTCACTTTTGTCTTCAATTCCTTTTAACCTCTCTGTACCTGTTCTCTGTGTTCTTCTGTCTGGACTGTCTGGCTCCCTGTGCCATCTCTGTGTAACGTGGTCATTAACACAGTGGATGCAGTACTCCCTCCGGGATTGACTGTGGCAGTGGACGCAGCACCCCTTCTTCTGTCAGTACTGTTAGTACCATTTGCCCAGGTGACTTGAAAGTGGCGGCTAAGCTGGCCCCTAACATTCCTTTGGAAATGGAACTTCCTGGTGTGAAGATTGTACATGCTCAGTTTAATACACCTATGCAGTTGTACTCAGATGACAATATTATGGAAACACTTCAGGGTCAGGTTTCAACAGCCCTAGGGGAAACACCTTTGATGAGGTAATACGAGTCTTTTTGAACCATGGGCATATTAACTAAACACGTGGGCAGTGTCAGCTTTACGGGTGTCTTTTAACATTGTCTTAATGGAAAGAAAGCTATGTGAAAAGCTTTTTAAAAATACTAAGGATTTATTGCAAATATCTAGGCTTGATGGTAAAGGTGATTTGGGGAATTATCTAAGTAGAGCTTTATGTGTCCAATAGCAATAAAATGAAACCCTGTAAGGACCAAATGTATATGTCTCTCAAAAGCTACAATGTACTTTACAAATGTGTGGTGTAATACTTCTCAAAGTTATTTATAATCTAGTATACCCTATGTCCTTTGGGGATCAAAAATGAGGAAGGAGGTGGGAGGTTTACAGGAGTGTTATGAGATGATTCTTCTCTCTTCTGATAGAGCTTGTGGAGAGGTCACTATTTACCCATTTAAAATGTTTATTGTACGTGAAGGTTTTTGGGTGAATACCCTCAGGCTATTAATGTAGATATTGAATTTTTGCTGGTCTTTTTTGACTCATTTTTTCTTTGTTATAACTCTTTGTTCACAGTACTTTTGCCATAAAGATTTTGATTAAAAATATTTATTATAGGATAAAATCTTATTGCTTCTTTCACTATTACAGAGTCACTATTTATAAATTAAATTATTATAATGCTTAAGAGTGTTAAATAGTGATATCCCAAAGCTATCTCTTGGGATGAACACATTGAATTAATAATAGTGTAAGATATCTCAAAGCCATTTGCAAATATGACATAGGTAATAAAAATATTACAGATAGTATGTTTTCTAGATAATACAATAAAATGATATAAAATAATAAAGTTTTTAGTGTTAAACATATAGTATTATGATAAAATTCTTTATTGCCCATTATGAATATATTTGTAGAAAGCATGTTAAAATAAAGCTGCTGTCATTATAGTAAATGAATTTCAATGTGGCTATTTTTAAAAGACAGTGCAGTCAATTACAGCAGATATAAAAATGTAAGTTTCTGTATTACAGGCTTTCAAACCCTGAGATGTTAAATTCCTAGAATTTACAAGTAAAATGATACCTTTATTATTTCCAGGGGTTGACAAATTAGCCTTAAAACTAAAAACATATTAAACCATATACTTTTTGTTTAATATCAAAAGTAAATCTGAATTTTACTGACAGTTTGATGACTGAGAATAATCTAACTGGGTGCTTACTGCTGCACTTTCCGTCATGTGTATATTGCCTTTTCTCTGGGAAAAGTTAATTTTGTTCACATCTATCATTATATATCCATCAGACCCAAGTCTTGTTTTTCTTAATTACTATTTCCTGACAATTATCTTTTACTTTCCTTCTAAAGTATTTTGCCAAGTGGAGGAGTGTGGATGCAACTCCTCGATTTGTTGTTCAATGACATTTCCAAGGCAGCCTTGTGAATTCACATTATGCTTTTAACTATACTAGAGATTCACTTGAAAATACTAGACCTCTGTTCAGGAGTGGCTGTGCATAGAGTAATGGCTGAGTATTGATGTCTGTGGCCTCTTGCACGTCTGGTGCCTCCCAGCGCCTGATGATGCTCCCCGCTGTGCCTGTGTTTCAGCGAGCCCACGGCCTCGGTGCCCCCCGAGTCAGACGTGTACCGGATGCTCCACGACAATCGGAATGAGCCCACACAGCCTCGCCAGTCGGGCTCCTTCAGAGTGCTCCAGGGAATGGTGGACAATGGCTCTGGTGAGCAGCCACTGACACCCGCTGAAACGTATTGATAGAGGCCACTGCAGGCGGCGGGACAGGGAGGACAGCAAACATACTGGGAACAAAAGTCTAAAACTTGGTTTTAATTGGGAGCCAAATGAATTTTTGCTCAGAAGGATAGGATATGGATGGTGCCTAGTTTAAAAAAGGAGATTCTGGGACATGTCCAAGTAGCCACCAACTGAAGTCATAAAAGGACACCAAAGACAAATTGCATTAATGGTTGTCAAGGGCTAACTCAGCTTACAAGTCATGAGATATCATTTTAAACAAATATTGTCAAACTTCTCAGCCTCCCCCCACACTCTGGAGTATCACCATCATCAAAAACTAAACAACACTCTAACAAACCCTTGCTATGTTCCATGTTCTGTGAAAAGTATTTTGCACACATTATCATTTA